TTGGAAAAACTCCCCTCGCGCGTTTAACCCTTCGGGGCGGGCGCGCAAAAAGGAGGTGTGACAGTAATTAAATAGAATTCTTCACAAAATGGAATTCAAAATTGAAATCTTTTAGCAATTTGTTATATATTATAAAACTAGTGTAAAAATTTGGTGAGAGATATTAAGGAAAACGTAATAAATCTAGGGTGGCCAAATAATATAATAGACAAGTTTGGATTTTAGAAAAGAGAAAAAGACAATAAAAACTACTTTTTCCTTTAAGATGAAAGGAAATATAATCTGTGTTAGAAAACACTTTACTCTCTAATATGATACTTTCGACGAATTTAGATTTAGTTGAGTCATCAACACCAAATAGGAAATAAAAAAAGGAAATGTAGGCTATAATATAATCCATTTAAGATCAAACTGGTTCCACTGTAATTCAAATGCTGACCTTTAGGTTTTAGCTATTATATATGTATTGACTCGTTGAGAGAGTAGTATTATAACTTTATTATCGAGCAAAATTATATCCATAATTCAGACAAAAAAGTTAAGTACTAAATAACTAGTCCGTTTATCCAATTTATCTATCGTTTTCCTTTTCGTTTTCTTCTACTATTTTTTTTTAAAAAAGGTCAGTTGTATAGTGATCCTGAGGATAGCAGGAGTAGGAAACCATATCCAAGTAGGAAACCAATGGAACAATAATTCGGACAGCTTCCTACAAAACAGGAAAAAGAGCCATTGCTTGAAGGAATAGCTTCGTCTTGCCATTCTCTCTATTTGTCACTATAACTCCAAAACTAAAATTTTCTTTACGGGTAAATGCTCCTCTATAGTTCTACAATTCACCCTTTTCTTATGCTATTGGTCATCCTTCTTTATACCCTCTTTTTTAGTCAAAGTTTCTTTCTTTTCTTTTACTATCATCTGTCTCTATATTTTTGGACTATAACCGAATTGTTATTAACTTGAGACTGCTGTATTAATTGATAAACTGTAAATTATGGAACCGCCTCTGATTTTCTTTATGTCTAAAGAAATCTTTCATGCTGAAACTTCCTTGACTTTGTATTTTTATGGGTTTTCTTGTGTGGATTTTGATTGATTTTTCATTATCCGATCATATTCTTCACCAGGCATATATTATGTTTTATTTTTTCTCTGGTTCATATATGTAGAATTGGGTTCTTTTTACATGGTATTCTTCCATATTGGTCTGTGTTAAAAGGGGGATAAAAGATGACATCTTTTGGTGAAGGGTCTATTAAGCATATCAGATTAATAGTTTAATTTTGTGCATAAAATTGGGTTCTTTTTAAATCATAGGCTGGATAGATTGGCCACTGGATTAGTCGAGATGCAAACAAGTTGGTCCAAATATCTCTGATTTTAAAAAAGAAAAAGAAAGGGGGGGG